TAGTTAACAACATCAGTAGTATGAAAAACCGAGTTCAAGCATGTATTGAAGCTGAAGGATGCCATACTAAGTATTAAGTTATTAATAAAGTTTGTAGCCATAATGTTAGGCTTTCATAAAAGTCTTTTTATTTGTGTTTATATACTAAATTGCGCTCACAACATCCCAAAAACTGACCGCCATTACTTTTGCCGGTAACTGTAACAAGATATAAACACGGACACGTTCTTTTGTTTTTATTGGGAGGATAGTTACGAATGTTATCAATACAGTTGGGATGAGCTGAATCGTAGCAGAGCTAGGTTATACATGAACTCGTTTTCAAAGACAAAACAAATAAGCAAAATATGATACGTTTGGGTCAAGTATAATACGAGCGATGGAGGGAGAATAGTTCGAATGCTGCTACAACTCCACTTCTTAACTTGCTTTTTCTTTTTCTTTTTTCTTCGTTTATCGTTATTTTGACTGGGAATGAGAATAGACGTGCGAACAGAACCGGAAGGTAAATATATTTTGTCTGGCTAATTTTGTGGAAAAAATTTTTGCCTCTGCTTTGTCTATAATTATCCGCTATTCTTTGAATAATCAGATCTCAGGTTTTCCGCAGAAGAGACGGTCGCAGTCCGGAATGCTTTTAATCGCGAGTATAAAGACCGAGGATTGACCAAGGCTTTCCTAAAGCATGCAGCACATTGCTTACGAGATTGGGACCGTGAAAATTACTACTCTGCGTACTTTGCCCTCGTGCAAGCCTCAACGTCTGGAAAGTCGTCCCTTCTACTTCGATCAGGAAACTATGTGTATGTAGTGTATTGTTCCCTGCGACACCCAGAATCAGGGGGCTATCCTGAACGATCAACTATCGCAAAAGATCTAGAGGACGTTGGTGAAGGACAATCACTAGGACAATCACTGGCCAAGTATGTTGCCTATCTGTATGCTTGTATTGAACATTTAACCAAGTGTGATGTGTCGCCAGATGCATTTTTAAAGCAGCAAGATTGCCAGTTCTGGCTCGGGATTAAGAATCGGATGGCAGAACTACAGAAGGAGTGGAATCATATTGCATCAAAGGATATGGCAGGACGTGAAACAGAATTTGTATCAAAATTAAAGATTTTATGGGAACTGTTTCTGCAGCAGAATACCAAGAAATTTGGTTTTGATCAAGAACTCTCACCATATATCATATTTGCTTTTGATGAAGCCAGAATGCTAACCAAACAATCACAAGGGAAGGAAATGGGCATTTACATTCCTGTGCCAAGCATGTCGCTGTCTGCCCACAGCAACTGACAATGGCCATGTTATTGCAGTTTTCACAGATACAACTTCACAGATCTCAAATTTCTCCCCTGTTAAGGACAAAGACACATCATTCCAAGTGACCCTCCAAGGCTTGAAGCTTTTTCCTCAGTTCCATTTGCTTGATACAGTAGACATCAACATTGATGTTGCACCCAAAACTCTCTGTGATTCTCAAGATCCTGAATTCTTTTTGTGATATGGACTACCTCTATGGTATGCACTAAAAAGTGCCAAAGATGATAATGACCGCCCTGTCCTTGAGACACACAGAATTTTGTACATTGTGAAGTCACAACTTGTGGGTGGATTAGATTTCAAAAAATGGTGTGAGCCAGGATGAAAAGTTCAGTTAGAGGAAGCATTTGCTGTATTGGGATGTCATGCTTGTATTAGTCACCCATGTGTGCCTAATAAAGACCCTCAAAATCTCTGTCTTGGCAACATATTTTGTTAAATATTTACCAAGGCCTCTTGATGTTACATATTGCACATTTATGTGTGCATTCCAGAACATTAATGTTTCTAGATGATAAGGTACAACCCATTGATCTTCAGGTTTGACACATCTGTATACATATCAAAAATCATTATTATCATAATATGTTTCTAATGCAAATGGTCAAGGAAAATTTTTTTTGCATCTTTGTCCTGGCAGTGCAGGGCCTCCACATTTTCCATAACTGCATGTATGAATCTGATGTTGTTTTACATAATTATACAATTCAGGTTCTAAATCTGGATCTGGTAAGTCAGCACGAATAACATTATTGGCTATCATTTCATCAATACTTGCAGAAACCCATAAACAGGTATGCATATGTGCTGCTCCATGATTCTAAAACTCAACTCTTTCAAGTTTTCCCCATCTGCAGTTTTCCTGTTTTGGCTAGATATGATGCTTTATTTCTTTCTTCAAGGCAATAAAGTATAATGCAGTATGAAGGGGTCAATTAGTTGGGAGTGGATCACCATTGTCTGTAGTCTCAAGAATTTCTTTCAAATGAGTCCACTTGCTTTCTGCCATTGTAAGTGTAACAAAAAGTTTAGGGAGACCAAATTCATTTGTCACATGTAGTAGCTTTTCATGAAAATATGAATCACCAGTATGTATAAATGTAGGCAAAGTGATTGTCTTTGTTTTATCAATTTTCCTTTTACCATTATCAGTCACTGAACATTTAGCAGGACTTGCAATTTCATATAAGTTACACAAAATAATTATTTGTTTTGATCTTGACATGGACTTTCTCCTTGATAATAAATATGGTAACAGCAATTGTAATGATAAATAAACTTATTTACCTTGTTAAGCTTTATCATACTACAGTTATAGATTGTGAACAAAATGTTTAATCAAAGAGCTATGTTTGTTCAAAGTTGTATGCTTTTTTATCTTTGTGAACAGATTTTTTTAAAACTTACATAATAAAATCAAAATAAACACATAAAATAAAAAGTGGTAGAGAATACATACATGAATGCCTTGTAAAAAGTTGGTGAGCAGCACTTATACACAGACAGAGATAGCTATGAGACAACTACAAATTTACTATAGTAATAGAGTAAAATTTGCTTCCTTTACCAAAAAGGAAATGATTTCCTATGCATGCCTGTACTACAAAACTTTTTCATAGCTATCTCTGTCTGTGTATGAGTGTTGCTTACTAATAATAATAATTTAAGCAGAGCATGTGACAAAGGGATTCCTTTATACATAAATACATAAAAGATTCACAGCTACACAAGGATTACTTAGTGAATAATTATTTCGAATTGAAAAAATATTTTCAACTTAACAAAGTGAGTATAACCTAATCGATAATAATATTACCATGTCAGCCGTTGCAACAAAAATCGTCAAACAATCTTATTCCAGAGATGAGCATATCCGAGCTTAATCGGTATTCTGAGTTGCTTAACGAACTTGAAAGAGGAATCAAGCACGAAGACGCCTTCGAAATTCAGTGATGAACAGGTAAGCATACTGATACCTACTCAAAAAAGTGGTCGGCAAAAAGTCGTAAATCTTACAACTTTAGAAAAGGCTTTACCGAATCAGTGGAAACAATCAAAGAATTAGCACAACGAATTTTACGAAACAAGCTTAGTGAAGAGGATGTGAAGGCCGAAGCACTAAAGTTAGCCAAGGCAGCATTGAGTAAAAATGCTGGGTCTTCTAGGCTTTCTCGGCTTCGATGAGAACTACGAAATCTTAATGCTCCCTATGATACAGTGGAAGCGACAAAAATTACAGAGAAAGCATATTATCGTTTTTGGCATATCCCTGATAACAAAGATCACCTGAAATTAAATTTTACAACCAGCATTAAATAGTCTCCAAGATATATCAAATGAATTAAAAAATAAAACCGGAGCCAACGGAATATGACAGAACTTTTGATAGGACTTTTTCACAAACGTTATCCGGAACATAATTCGGTACTTTTTCCGCATTTTCAGAAGTTACAGCCAATAGCCATCCTATATGAATTACGTCTTCACCTTTTGGATTGCAACCATAGCGACGTAAAAATTGGTATTCCTCCATTACGAATTTCTCTTGATCTTCGATTATCCTTCAGTAGAAGGTAGACGAATTTCCAAGTGCTAAATGTTCTGACCCAAATCGCAATTCGAATTTGGGTTGGCCGAAATCAAGCAGGGTATACTTATGCAATATATTTCTAAAACATCCTTTATTTCAGAAAACGAACGAAATTTAATAAAACGTTTCTGATGATTAGATCATTGACTGTTGCTTGGATAACAACACTGACTACATATTATTCCCCTCTTACATGAACACTTCTTGTTGAACAGTCTGACTGACAACATGTATTTGACCCTTCACTATTAACTAGCGTAAGACGTCTCAAAACAATAATACCGCTGCGAAAAAAATACCTGAACCTTCGATTTCTTCATTTTATTAAAAATGAATCTGACATAGATATTTTTACTCTTCTTTACAGAAAAATTCCAAATATCGCGAGAAAAAATATAGAATAATGGAGAGTCAAGATTGCCTTAATTACAATGTGAGAGTACGAAGCTAGTTACAAATCGGTCCATCGAGACTTTCTTGCGGATCTTGAAAAAGACAGTTATAAAATACGATGTATTCCGCAAGCTATGACGCAATCAACACTTCATATTTAAATTGTGAATCCAAGAACGGATTTTATGTGATATTTGCCAACGTTTTCGGAATGGGTTGTAGTAAGGCGGAAGAAGTAAATATCTACTAACAAAGATGAGTCAAATTTATGGCAGAAGGTAAGGCTGGTTATTGTAACGTTAACGCTACTGCTCATTACAGTTACGACGTTCCACATTCCGATCAGATTTGTTATCTAGTCCACGTATTCATTTGCGTGTTCAAGACGAACCAATACGCGAACACATTAATTACAAAAGTGGGAGATGACTTGTGATAATGCAGAATAAAGTTACCGTTTGATTTTAGCTATGTTTAGTAATTTGCGGCTATTACAGAAGTATCAATTAATTAATTGCATCTACTTCAACTATATTGAATGGGCTTAATGACAGTTGTTCTCATTAGGAGCAAAAGCAACACTTATAATTTGAACATCAAAATATAGACTGCTGTTTACGTAAGCTTCCTGAATCGAAAAGGGTAAAGTCAACCCACCCAAGAACTGATACTTTTTAATAACAGCCGAATCTGCAAACACAAGATTAAGAGATATGCTTATTCTAAACAAATCGAATGTCTTTGCATGCGTATGAGGGGATCATAGAAATAAATTGATTGCATACGAGATTGTCTGGTGTAACATATTTGCAATCATCTGTGATGGGTAACTTTCCGTTCGGCCGATAAAGCGGGGATATTCGCCAAAGCAGAAGTTTCATGAACGAATTCGTTATGATGCTGTATTCACTAGACTTTACTGTGCATCATACCGCAAACAGGTCAGAATTGTCAAAGGCATTGTTCTAATCTCAAATTCTGTTTCGATGGATTATGTAATACATAAAACATGAAAGCGTAAGCGAGAATTAGTCAGTTTATTATATTCGTAACAAATACAAGTGTTAATATATTGTCGGAGTTACTGGATTTAAGAAAAAGACATACGTTTTAGCGCATTCTTTCCCTCAAGCTATAGGGATAACATTAAAAGGTCGGTATTTGATTGACAGGAACTAGCTATCTCTGGATATGAGCGAAATTGCTATTAATTCAAAGCATTTCTATTAAAATTTCTGGCCAACCATGTGTTTGCATGAAAGGGTGCCAGGCAGAATATGTCTTCTTGATATATATATTTGTATCAATTGCAAATGGCTTGAGAAATGCGACTTCGTCTAATTAATGAGCATAATCTACTAGACGGCTGTATGGAAATTACCGATGAAGACGCTATAAAGCCATGTTAGATAATGTATTTAATTTCCTCAATCAACCCACCAGCGGAGTTTGGTCGTGATGCAACTACGATTACCAACGTGTTATTAGTAATATGAAACGGTTATTTGTTACCTGGATGCAGCGGCAGTTAACTCCTTATCGATATCAGACAACTATCGAGTATCCTACATACTGACAACATGCCGTAACATGTGAGGTAAGCAATCTTTGTTTTTACTTAACGGGCTATTCAATCCGACTCTATTTTTTACGACAAAAATCTGCTGTTCTGACCCCTGAAAACAAGTATGTCAAAACATGCAAAACCGTAATTATTATTAATATTAATTAAAAACGCTCAGATCCCCTAATTTATCGGATAAGGTTTCCTGGTGTGTAACAATTTAAATTGTTTCATATGAACCTTGACTTGGTTATTGTGTGCAACGCGGACAATAATGGGTGAACAATGCGTATGTATGGATTGGGAAAATCGCACAACGTAATTATACATTCTCACCAGAGTTTCCCATGTAACAAAAATAGAAACGGGGTATGTTATCCCAGTCTGGCGTGGCTGAATGAGCAATTCCATATATAAAACCCCGCAGATTTCAATCCTATCGCTCGGTGGTAGAATTCAAGAAAACATAAAAAGTTGTTGCAGCGCAACAAACATTATAGAAAGAAAGCATCTCCTACCCACATATACCCATACCATTAACAGCTCTCAATCATTTCTAATAGAAAATGCATTACTCCAACCTTATCCTCCCAGCAATATGTATTATATTTACCCTCACTACCTCGTCCGTGGCTCAGACAGCAGTCTCGGCGGCTAAACCTTTCATAACTGCAGCAGACTCAAAATTCGGAGGTCAAATAGAAGGCACGGCCGTTGATCAAGCAGGAAACGTGTTCACTGTCGACTTTGGTAAAAAGACCCAAGCAATTGGTCAACTATCGCCCAAACAAAAACTGTTCTTTGCCGAGGCAAACAATCAAACGTTCTTTAACGCCGTGAGGTTTGTGCCCGTACCCAGCGGCAAAAACATCAAAAGCGCCGCGTTGGCTGGCGACGTGTTGGGACATAGAGTTTTGAAACTGGTAGTTAAAGTCGATAAGAAGACAAAGAAGACAAAAGTGTCCTCAAGCGTGTTCTGCGAGAATAAACAATTTCTACAACCAAACGACCTCGCTATTGCTGTTAAATCAGGATTCGTATATCTATCGGGTCAAAACTTTACCGCAGACACGAAAATAGGTGACGGTGATCTATGGCTATGTACCTCGAAAGGAAAAACGACTCGATTAGGCCAATTCGGCAGAACAAATGGTATCGAAGTGTCTCCGGACGAACGCACTCTTTACCTTTCGGAAGCATTCAATGTGAACGGGACTGTGATATCAAACAAGGTCCTTAAATTTGACATCAATTCTGCCACAGGTCACGTCAGCAATAAGCAAGTTTTCGCTGATTTCGAGAAAATTGATGGTACTCAAGCGACTGATATCGACGGAATGAGAACTGACAAGGATGGAAACCTGTTTGTTACTCGTAACGGTGGTGGCCAGGTTGTCAAGTTCTCGCCAACGGGGGAGGTGCTTTTAAAAATAAAACTAGCGAATAAGAGTGTATCTAACTTGGAATTCGGAGGCAAGGATGGGAAGACCTTGTTCATGGTTGGAACGTGCGATGCAGATGCAACAAAGGGTTGTGTAGACACTTTTAACAACCCAGTTGAAGGACGCGCATTTGCGTCGCTTAACAAACAATTGTAAACATGTTGAGCGTGTTTGCATCGCATAATAGGGTATGGGTATCTGTATTAATGTATATTATATGAGGGCTTTCACTGTTTATTATTTTTTTGGGGTGGGGGGGGTGGGTGGGCGGTTCTTTTTATATACATTCCATAATTAAACAGATTTTAATAAACACAAGTTAACCAACGTGCAATTGATCAGAGTATGCAATAGTTATTTACAAATATACCACACATACCTCGCTTTATTAAGAGCAATATTAGGAACGAGACATCCGTAAATTTTACATGTACATCATATGATCTGGCGTTTCTGTTACCGCTTCATCATTGTCGGCCTCATTAATAGTCTCGTCAATGTCAATATCAATGTCAATAATGAGCCCGCCAAGAGTATCTGCTAACGCCTTTATGATTTTGACCTTAAAAGAGCCGGCATTAGTCGAACGCGGGTGGATTGGCAAGATGCAACTACAAACATACACACACGTACACCTGATAAAACCCATCATACCTCGTGCGGGAATCTGTCTCTACCTGAAACGCGTTTACCAGGAAATAAAAGACATGTTGTCGGAATGCCTTCTACTTTCAACAATGTTATCAAGACGTTTAGTATATGCGAACGTATCACTGGATTTATTTCAGCGTCTAGTGGATATTAACAACGAATGTTAGCTCGTATAACAAGACATTCTCACAGGTACTCGTTGGCATGATTAAAACTTTACCATTTACGTTTATGCTGTAGACTTTTTCGTCGATAAGATTGGTATTAACATTCGCGAGTATTGTTATCTCTTGTACTTTACTCGCGGACAAGAGAGATATTAGAGACGATATGAGTGTGGTAGTTTTGGACTGGCTTTCCAAAGATGGAACGTATACCACGGATGTCTTTGCGTACCCAAGGAATCGTCGCAGAGTAAACAATTAGACCGTCACTCGCGCACTCAACGTGCAAGAGTTAAATGAAATTACGACTACATACATCGCCAACATTGCGAACTCGTACTTTTCCATTTGCTACCTCGAGCTCGCTTTCATTCTTTGTTCGTATTTTGTCTAACAGTTTGCAACCAACATTGTTTAGATCGGGAAACCCAAGGATTATACGAGGTTGTAACATTGCCATGGTAAAGTAGTGTGAGTACGTAGGCAGAAGATGTGAATTATAATATCCCGACTCGAATTCAATGTGTAACATACACGTGTGCCGTATCGAAATGCATGTTTGTCATTTAATATTTAACCTCGTTGTGAACAAAAGTTCCTCGCGATAGTCATTTAATATTTATTGCATTAAGTAAAACATTGACAATCTCGGTGAGTTTTTCCAACCAGTAACAATATTTCTTTCAGTCTTTACAATGTTGTATAATTAAACGGCAAACATTCGAACATTAAAGTCTACGATCTAAGCAATTTGCGTAAAATTCTGTTCCAATACTCACACTATGAAGAATTTTGTATTACGGGAGAAGAATTGTTCGTGTTCAAATATTAGAGTAAAGTATAACCTATTTCTTTGTCACTAGTACGAATATCGGCTTTGATACCATCACAACATTAATTTCTTCAATTAATTGTTACTATCTTCATTCTTCCACATACAATCCTTCTGTTGGATTGCTTTTTTCCGCAAGTTTGTTCTTTGGCGATAAAATTTATATTGTACATCTAGCAACGACATTCGCTTTCAAGTAGCTTACGACTATCAAGTGCCATTGAAAGATTATAATAACTAGCAAGCAAATTTGCTTTCCTGCAATGACTAGAGCGATTGAAACATGACCATGGTAATAGAAAACGAGCTCGAAATATACAAACTTATCAGACATGGAATTTCCTCTGGGTGAAAACAACGCTATGAAATTGGAATTCCAGATTTACAGTATATGATTGCTATGCACGTTTTCTCTCAATTATAATAGACCTTCTTTCCCTGTTGAAATTTGCACGAAAAAAAAATAGACACATAAAAACTACAAAATTCAATTTATCGAAAAATCAGTTTTCCAGCTTCCGCCACCAAAACAAGTGTTTGATTTTATCGGTGGCGCTGATGTTACATGCATGCGCCACACACGAGAATGAGAAATTTCCGTATATTCCCCCAGATGTCACATGCCTTTCGAGTCTCCCGCTTTGAAAATGTCAACAGGCCGAGGAACTGATAAAATTCTCGAGAAACTTCGAACATCGGTGAACAATGGAAATTACTATGAAGCCCATCAGATGTATCGGACCGTTTGTAGAAGGTACGTTTCCAAAAACGCAGAGACTGATAAGTCAAGAAAATATTGGCATGGGAAGTGACATGTATTCAAGACTTGTCAGAATTCGAGTCATTGATACTTTAATTTGATTTCCATAGATATATTAAGCAGGAGAAACACAACAGTGCTATTGAACTGTTATATTCGGGAGGGCAGCTTCTGCTTGAGCATAAGCAAATTGGCAGTGGAACTGATCTTTCCCTTTACTTGGTTGACGCGTATAAAGAAGCCGAAATTCCTGTAACAGAGGAATCAAGAGGTGCGGGCCAACATTATGTTTCACTCCATGTCAATTATTTTTGCAATCTAATGCATATCTTGCCTTTTTCTTGTTTGTCATCCTCGTTGAAAAGCACGTATAACCAGACTTTTGAGTCTCTTACCCAATGAGCCTGGCCGTAGGCGATTCATGGATGCTGCTGTCCAGTAGGCATTAGATGTATTAAATAGTTGGGTTTAGACGAGATCGATATTTTTTTGTATTAGCCCAACCAATATTTCTGATACGAGTAATTCTCGCCTGCGATTAGATGGTCCGTCAAGTTCAGTGATAGTGTTGTCGGTGATCCGGAACTGCATCATTTCATTGGGGAGATGTTATGGAAAGGTAACGAAACATGAGATTACATTGTATTTTATCGGTCTATTGGTGTTGTTCAATGGAAAGTTATGCTAGAACGCGCTACATTCTTGTTACGTCATTTGTACAGAGAAATCTTACTCGGAAGCAGAACCTCATTTCCTTGCTGGATTACCAGCAAGTAGTCGGTCTTATGGGAATATGCTTGCTGAATGGGCTTCTCAAGATCATCCGAGCAAATTAGGAACCTATATTTCACGGGCGGTGTTACAGTATGTGGATCTATTATTCTCTCTATGATTATTTTTTTTTCGTTCGGCATGTCACTCATATAGCATGTTTTACTGCCCGATGCTTAGATATCTGTGCTTGCGCAATATTCGCGATGCGAGAACCTCGTTTGATACTTTTATCGAAGCAGTGGCAGAAAAAGACTCGAGCATAAAGTCCGGCACGGCTCCATATCGTCCCACGCTTGCAAGTGATCCCGTCCAAATATCACTGTACACTATACCATTACTCAACTTTTTACAACTTTTAATTCTCACTGTCCAACGTGATGCACGGGATCTGTTTACTAAACTACGAACAAAGTACAGTTCAAGCTTGGCCGTTGAACCATCTTTTGATGATGTAGGTTAAATTTTCAAAGCTCCTCGTGATTGATGTCATTGTTTGCTAAAGTGTCTGTCTGACTTTTGAAATTTTTATTGTTTACAGTTACTTAATAAAATTGGTGAAGTTTTCTTTGATATTAAGCTGCAGAAGCCGCAGCAATACAACCTACTCCAGGACCTAATGAACTCTTTCTTATCTCCATCTGGGAGTGCTTCTGAATCGCCGGCAGGCGCAAGGATGTCGATGTCGAGCGACTTAGAGTAGTACTACATTAAATTGGTTTATATTTATTTGAGAAAGACTTTTTATCGTTATTGGAGGAACTAGTAATTAATATGGCAAACTATTCGGAAAATGCAAAAGACATACGTTTTCAAGATGATTTGAAAACAGTTAATAAAAGACGGTACTTGAGTACACTCTTGCATATCTAATTAAAACCCTGTTCGATGCTAAAACTTCTAATTCGACTTTGTAGAATATAAAAAAAAAACTTTGCCTCTGACAATCTCCGCTTGGCATTGCACCACATTACCACAAGAATGGTTTTTCTTTATTTTTTACGTCCAATTTGTGGAAACTTTGTTATTGAAGTATAACTAGCATATTAACCAGCTAAACCTAGTATAAGAATCACGTGAACTTGCGAGGGGTTAGTCAAAATTACTTGTCTATTTTTCTCGAATTTCCTTGGAAACACTCTGATAAACGTAATAATAATTGCAAGAAATTCGTTAAAACGCGTAATTCGCGTATTTCAATTGCCATTTGGTCAATGAGACTCCGAATTTGTTTTGTACAATAGACAAAAAGGGGGGTACGAAACTGCATTTGGAACATTGGACAATATCCACAGTAAACTCCTACTAAACCACTTAAACGAACGAACGAATTTGTTAAGAGCAAGATCCATCCGACAAAATTATTCGGGTCATTAGTATAATGCGGTGTAGATACTATTATTAGTTCAAAAACTCGAATTGCTCTTTAACTTGTTTTCTCTAATTATCGGTATATTTTCTGGCATGAAAATCTTCTTCATTAGAAAGCGACTATAATCGATGGTGAAGTGTTTCCAACTCGTGTTGCTAATTTACGGAATAGGTTAAATAGGCACGGTATAAATATCTCGCAATCAATTTTATTACCGGCGGGGGAGAAAACACACTAAAAAATCGAACAATGACATGCAACATATTTCGTTACCAGATTTACTTGTAGCAAACACTACTAAAAAATTGAATTCCGACATGCGAACGACTCCATTGCCAGAACGCGAATTGGCAAACAGAAGCTGAGAAACGTAGTATTCATTATCCAAAGGATAATCCGTTGTCACTGTGATTTTGTAGTACATACAGTAACGTGCAAAAGTATCCTACCGGTTGTATCATCTAAACGTACATAATAATAACTCCTTAAATTTTCC